TTGTCCTTATAACTGCTAGGTTTATTTTTTTGTTATTTGTTTGTTTTTAGTTGATTTCTGAAGCAAATAAACCCTGCAAGATCATGTTGTTTGATCTTCTTCCTCCCTATGTCTTCTGGAATGGTTAACTTGTCTTAACCAAACTTGACCCAGGTGGTTGGGTTGGGCAGAGACCTGATAGTGCCCCCATAGGGGGAGAGGATGCTGCAGAGGTTTGTGACAAATGAAAGTGGGGGAGGAAAAAAATATATGTATACATTAAAAAAAAAAAAAAAAAAAAAAAAGTAATTCTGAAGCCTGCAAAACGTTCAGCTACAGCTTTCTCCTGATAACTGTCAGATTGCTTCTCATCCCCCTTTATCTATTCTGTGTAATGATAAAAGCTCAAATGTTAATGCAAATGCAAGGTAATTTGCAGAGCATCGTTCCTATAAGCGCTACATTCATTATAGGATGAAATAATATAATTAGAGGGATAATAGCAAGGAGAGAGAGCAAAATGGAGAGGTGTGAGCAAAAGAGAGCAAATATATTTTCAGCAAAGTTTCGGAAAGAAACGGAGAGCTAATGAGGTGGAGCTCATCTAGATGGCAGCAGCAAGCATTGCTTTTCCTACCAGGACAAGTGTCTAGAGACGTGTCTGGAGAATAAAAGAGAATTAATAAATTGCCAGACTAATGGATGAGGGTAGAAAGAGCTACAAAGAAACACCAGTATTAGCCTGAAGCAACTAAGGTGCAATGGATTTATATACACTCCAGCTTGTTTAAAATGAGTGCTCAGTGCTGGGCAGCTCCATTGTCTTTTTTTCTTTTCTGGGGGCAAATCCTGACTGTGGAAGCTAACAGCTCCATCAGCTGTATAATTAGTATGAGTAAGTCCCTGTGTTTGCACAGGGTGTTGGTTGGAGGCTGCTGCTGCCCAGCAGACACGTCCATGAAGGTGGACACGGATGGGCTGCTGCTGGTGACGGGAAAGAATGAGGAGAGCGTTGGGTTTAGGCTGAAATAAATGGGTTGTCCAGCTGTAGCTGCTTTAGAGAGGAAGTTGAATGTTAATTAGATGCCACCAGTAATTACGGTGATTATGTATTTTTTGAGTGGCTGTTGGGAATAGTTCAATTCGCATCCAAAGGCGAGCATGAATGACATTTCTAATCACTTTAAGGAGAAGGGAAGGTTCTTCTTAAATGAGGAAAATTGCTGTGAAACAATTTAAGCTACAGTAGATGTAAAGAACTGTAACTGCTTTGATGTCACCGTCAGGAAAAGTGGATGTTGATGAAGCAAGAGCAAATGCAGTAAAAGCATCCTGCTTCCCTGCCTTCTGACTTCAGAAACCCAGGCACTGGGCAGAAAGTCTTTTTCAACTCTGAATATGGGCTGTAATGATTTAAAAAAGGAAGGAACAGTAATAAAGGAAAGGAGGGAGGGTTTGTCAGGTTTAACAACATTCATAAACAGATGATAGCAAAATTGAGACCTATGCTGTTCTTCCACATGTCTGCATTTTCTTGACTGTGAACTAAGCAGTCCTCTTGAAAATGCTCTGAAATTATTTTACTCTCTGTCAGGTCTTTTTTTGGTTGTTGTTGTTCCAGAAAACCAAATTCTTTAGGCTTATCCATACACTGGGCTGTTCCAAAACTGTTGTGCTGTGCATATTTCTGCAGGTCCTATCATAATATAAGTGCATGAATGAGAACCTACTCAGGAATATCTGTTGTGCTCTGAACTCCATTTTTCTTTCAGCTGTAGATAAAACCTCTCACTTATACCCACTAGTTCAGAACTCATTAACATGCCACCCACTGAGTCTGATAACCTAACACCTTTGATCTCAGTCTCAGCTCAAATTCACCCTTTGCAGTATTTTGTTGAGGTTTTGAATAAACTTGCATACATTCCCACCAAGCATGTATTGGACCCTCAGACTTTTGTGGAATGCTGGAAATGACAGGTGCAGACTGATTAGATGAGAGCTTACGTGCGCTGGGTGAGACCGTTGTCTTCAGTGCAAACCCACTGAGTGCTTCTAGGGGTCCCTCATGTCTAAAAATAATAACAAATGCTTGAATTTTATGCGAAAGAACATCTAAAGACAGTGAGCTGATTTGCACAGAAACCTTCTGATGCTTGGACAAGGACAGTCTCCTGCAACCCACAGGAATGTTCCACCTACAGGACATTTGCAGCTGCTTAATGTGAAACTTAAAAAACTGCATCATTCCCCTTCATTCACAGGACAAATTCAGTACTTCACCACCCAGCCCTCCTGAAGGTGATATTTGGAAGGCCTCTGCTGGTGATGATTCTGGTAAGATATTGTTTCTTTGCGTCTGCTGTATAACTTTGTCTTGGACATGAGTGACTTAACTGAGCACTGGGACCGCAGAAGATAGATGCCCTTATGACTTTCAGAGATCAGTGTGTCTTAGTTAAGCAGATGTCCAGCATAATGGCACAGCCACTTGATCCTGCATTCCCCTGTCTGCTTGGGCATTGCATCCAAATGACAAACCCGCTGCTTTCTCCAGCTTCTTTCTTCATGTGGAGATCCTTCACTGTCGTCTGCCCTTGTCCATGGGACCACCTACTCCTTTGGGTGTGACCAGAAGTGCCTCCATCACAGGAGCTAAGTGCAAGCGTCACTTGAGATGACACCATCATGAGATGGGCCCTACTCCCAAGCATGCAGGCATGTCCATTGCATGGTGTGGGCCATCAGAAGGTACTGTGTTTTACTTCTGTGATGGATCCCTACTGTTGCAGATCAGAGGGAAATGGAGCAGTGAGAGACTGACTGCTGGAGCAGTGGGAGCGAGACCTTGCACAAACTTTATTGCATGCTCAGAGTAGAGCTCAAATTTGAAAGCTGCACTTGCAAAATTTGCTTGGCTTTGCTTTACCTTGTGTTTATGTGACCTGCGCTCTCCTCTTCCAGATTGCTTCTGAAGGACCTACTGCACATTGACAGGAAGCTGCCAAAACACATTGTGCCACATCCGGGGAAGCAGAGGACAGCATGAGACTCTCATTCCTTCTTGTCTCTGGAGATGAGGAGGTGACAAAACTAAAGGGACACACCACAAATCTGGGGAAATACAGGAAGAATACAGGAAGCCTCTGGCTTTAGTGTCTGAGATGCTGAGTACCCCTGGATCTGGTGGCTTTGGTTGCCTTTTACTCTCATCTTGTACTTGGACACTGTTAGTGAAAGACCTGAAATGGGGCTCTCCATGCTGGTTTGTGTGTGAGCATGAGGGCATGAAATGGCATGAACTTTGCATCCTCTTATCTCAAGCAGTTAAATGAAGGCGTTGGTACTGCAGCTTGGTGGCTCTGTCAAAAGCAAAAGCAGTGAGACAAAACCATCTCCTATGTGTCCCCTGCAGACGCAGGGATACTAGGAGAGTTCTGTGCTGCAGAACTGTGTATCAACCCCAGCCAAGCCAGGGGCTCCTCCAGCAGCAAGGTATAGGAAAGAGCAGTAACTGCAGAGCTGGTTCAGGAGCATGTGGAAACCCCAAGGAGAGGGTTTAGTGTTAATTTATATTCTCTGCAGCTCTTCCTGAGGTGAGAGCTGGGGCCCTGGGCTCCATGGGGAGGTGGCTGGGCACAGCCTGATGCTGGCCCCATTCCTATGTGTGCAGATGCTTTGGGAAACGTGTTCTTTCCTTTCAGTTCTCCCCAGCTCTCAGCAGTTTCTGTGCGTGCCCACCAGAGAGCAACCCTGGCACAGGGCTGGTGTCTCCAGAGACAGAGATGGGAACAGTCAGGCTGGGGGGGACGCTAAAGCCAGCTTCCTTCACCCTATCCAGCCCTATCACCTTGCCCAAGCCAGAGCTGGAGGGAGGGCGTGACCATGTTGTGTGCCTCATGTCCTGGGCAAGAGGAGCATCCTGCTGGGCACGAGGACGTGGCATCAAGAGAGAAGAGCCTGGCTGTCCTTGAGCTGTTACAGCGAAGGACCATGCTGGGCAGCGGGGAGAGTCTCTCCCATGCATAAAGAGCAAGTTCAGACAGCCAGAACCTCCAGAACTCAGATGGGTAACAGCCCAGTGCTTTATGGCAGTTTCACAAGTAAATGTGCAGATGAATTTTCTTTTTATATTTTTATTATTTTTTGACAGTTGTCTCAATGAATGTCTTTGGTACTTGAATATGGAGTTTGGTGTTATGGTGTGTTCTGGTATAAGAGGTACAATCTCATACTTGCTGTTCAGAGAAGGAAGAAAGCTGTACTTGTCATGCATGTTTTATAAGCAACAGTGCTCAGTGCTGGCCTGAGGTCCTGGGTGGGCTGAAAGGTTTAGGTTTAGAGATGGGGGCTCAGCCATGCTGCATGAACTGTCTCACTGCAGATCCCCCTCTGTGGGGAGGAGATTGCAGGGTTTGTTCTCCCCATGGATGTGCAGAGCAGGTGGTAGTCACCTCGGTCTCTGCTCCTTGTTGGATCTCATGTGTTCCCATGGGCAGCAGCAGGTGGGATGGCTGTGACCCCTGTGAACTGCAGCCCCAGGGCTCACGCAAAGGGCTTTGAGGGAAAGCTGAGGGAAGAAACAGCACTGCTATTTTTATCCTTGCACCAGCCCAGGGATTTGGATTGGCAGGGTTAGTTATGAAGCCAATATTATGAGTTTAACTATGAGTGAAATAACACAACTTCTGTGGGAAGCAGAGTAAAAGAGGCAATTATGCAGCAGCTTAATAACAGCACTCTGGTTGGGTAGCTGAAAATATACAGTTGATAGTAATTAGATTATTTTTTTTTTGTAATTCTTCCTGTTAAATAGCTACAAGAATTACAGTATATATTCATCTGATTCACTCTTACACGCTGTTTTCATCATGGGGTCCATACCCTTTTGGCCTTCAGACTATTTTTGTTTTGTAATTTTCTACTGTCTGGTATTTCAAAAGCATGAAACTTAATGTTCTTAATGTTGGACACACAAAACAAGATGGGAAGCAGGCAGGAACCCCAGAAATGCAGGGCTTTTCTGGATGGACAGCAAGGACTTTCCAAGTAGGCTCCCCCCAACTCACTGTCAGCTTTCCAAGCACTCATCTCTTCTTTTTCATGTATAGACAGCAGTAAGTTTTCCCTTATGCCACACAACCTTCTTTACCTTAGCAACTGTGTGCTTTCCAGCTTGCGGGGTAGAACTTGATGAGCCAGCAAGTGTGTGGCGCTTGGGCTGCTTCTGATCATAGCTTGAAAGCCCTGTGCAGCATGAAGGAAAGAGCTCTCAGGTTTGCTGTTGTTGCTGAAGGCTTAGGATGGGATATTTGCTTGGAGGCTGAAAGTATTCTTCCTCTTGCTCTCTGTTTTATTATGTAAAAGAGCCAAGCGTGATTAACGATACCATGGTCCTGTTGTTGTGATGTGACACAGGACTGTGAGGTTGTGTTTTGTGGCTCTGATGCCCAGTGGTGTCTCTGACGCGTGCAATAAATATTCTCTGCAGCAGCATTCCTGACCTCCCAGCAGAGCATCTCTCATTGCTTTTCTTCTGCTGTGGCAGGAGCAGCACAGTTCAGCCTCACACCTGCATTTTAGCTTTAAAGCACACTGGAGATCTCCAGAGCCATTAGCAGGGTAGAGGCCACCTCCAGGTATGCTGCTGCCCCACTTGCTTCTGGTTTTCAACAGAAATACACTGTGCTCTTGGCAAGTGCAGCTGCTCCAGATGGTGCTGGGAAAAGTGCAAATGAGAGCTCTGATTCCAGCCCTTCTTCTCTTTAATGAATCCTATCCAGCTCTCTAGTGCAGTGGATTTTGTTGGTTGGGTCTATTGTTTTGTTTTGTTTTGTTTTGTTTTTTGTTTTTAAAGGGGCTTTTAAAATGCATCCCCCTTCTTTCTGCTACCCCTGACTCTGCATCACGAGTTTATGACCTTCAGCTCATCTTCCCTCACTGGGAAGCATGCTGTAGGGTTTTGCCATCTTGTGCCTCTGCCTTCCATGTTGCTGTACTCTCTCATAGCCTGCAGAATTTGGATGTAATCCATCCATGGGATGTCCAGCTGCCCAGTGCTGGGGTCAGCTGCCAGTTTGGGGACCTCATGGTGGACCAGGTGGCTCATGGGGTTTGCTGTGTCCTCTTGCAAAGCTGTGGTGGATGAGCATGGAGGATGGAAGGAGATCCTTGTGGACACTGCCTGGACCAGAATTTAGTTGGTAAGGCTGGGAGAGGGGAGCTGCCATCTCCTCCTTTATCTCATCTGGAGTGGTGCATGTGCTCCTATTGTAGGCTGGCTGTGCTGCTGCTTGCACAGTGCCCCAACCACCACCCTACATTAGCTTATCCCAGTGTATTCCTGTCTTACAAAATTAGATCAATTTTGCAAATTGCTGCTGCACTGGTAATTGAATTGAAAGGTGGTTTTTTTTGGTTTTTTTTTTTTTTTTTTTTTTTTTGCTGGTTGCTGTTCCTTTTTTTTTTTTTTTTTTTTTTTTTTTTTTTTTTTTTTTTTGCACTGGAGTAAATCAGGAAGAAGTCAACAGAATCAAGCCCTGAGCGCTTTCAGCAACATGCTCATTTAAATTGGATGCAAGAGGGTGTCTGTGTTTACATTTGGCCTGCCAAGAATCTCTGTTTCAGAAACTGGCTTACATAATATGTCAAAATTGGTTTACTCATTAGCATTGCAAACGGTGTGAAACAAGCCCCAGATTGATAAACTCTCAGCAATATTTGCATCCTGAGCTGAGCGGCACAGGGGGAGGGGAGGTTCATTAGGAAGCATTCCATTTCCACCAGGAAAGCAAATGGTTTCCAGTTATAACTCAGACTTCGTTAATTTTCTGTCTTCCCAAATTTAAATAAAGATTGAGAGGGAAATGTGAAAATCTCTGTTGGCAAGCAGACAGCCTGTGTGTGTGCTGCTGGGTGGGCAGGCTCTGCACAGTAGTGTTCCAGGTGGCTGCAGCCCCTCTGCCAGGCTCCAGCCTCCTTGCACAGACCCTTACAGTGTGGCTGGGATGGAGGTTCTGGCATTACTCATCAGCTCCTCCAAATGGTACATGGGCACTAATGGAGCTGCCTGCTCCTGCACAGTACAGCCTCAGAGCTGGGGAGTATGGAGCTGTGTGCTGCAGGTCTTCCAGCTTGTGGTGGGATGGGAAAGCCATCCATCTCCACATTGCTGCTTGGGGTTTAGCAGGCATCTATGAAACTGGAAGCACATGTGAGCATGGGCAGGGGTGCTGGGGTGGGGTGAGCAATGGACAGAGTAAAGCAGCCCAGCATTAACGGGTGCTGAGTGTAACTTGCATCACTGCATCCTTTCTGGCTGCCCCTGAATCTCTTGAGCCCTTGGGTGATGTGGTAAAGCTGGCAGGAATCTGCTGGATGTGTGCAGCTTTCAGTGGTATCTAAAGGATTTGGGGGCTTAACTTCCATGAAGCTCTTAAGTCTGCTGTGAAACTCCTAGCTTAATCAGAAGCAGAAAGCTCTGATGCAGCACAAAGCGTCCGAGCAGTGCTGGCATTGGTGGAGTCAGTTTTTATGCTGTAAGTGATAATGCACCATCCCATATTTCAGAACAAGTTTTGCAAGAGGATCTGCTACAGCCAAAGAAAGCACCTGCTGCAGGTCCTGCTGCACCCTGATGGGATGGGTTTGGCACTGTCAGCCAACACCAACACATCCATCACCAGCAGTGTTCATGGCATTTGTGGCATGTCACTGTTGCAGGAAGAAAAATAAGTTTGGAGCTCTCGGTGGTCCCAGAGTCTGCAGTGCAGTGTTGATTGAAAGTGCTATGGTACAAGATGGGTCATCACCTGCTGCAGCCTGTTGTGCTCCTGCTGGACTCACATCTCAAGTGGGCACATGGTTTGGAGAACCAAGGGTTGGCAGCTGGCAAGGAACAGCCATTGTAATGATGCTTTTCAACGCTTCCAAAAACTTCCGTGAGGTTTTTCAGCAGTAGCAACCGAGTAGCTGTTGATAATGCAGATGTGGGGTGGGAAGGGGTGATAAAATGATCTCACTGAAAAATGAGGGTGAGAGGTGCTGGCACGTTGCTTACTGTCACATCTCACCGTGAGAGATGTTCTGTGTGAGATGCAACCACAGACCTGAACACAGTGCAAAAAATCTGAGAGCAATGGGAGCCAACTTCTGCCTCATTCTGCAGAGCAAAGGCACCGAGTTGCTTGTTTCGTTTCCAGGGCTGGCTCTTGGGTAGGCAGCAGCAGGCAGATGCTTTCACCTACGCTCAAACGCGCCGAGCAGAGAGCAGCACTTCCACATCTCTCCTTGGAGAAGTCAGCACTGTGACATCTCATAGCAGCGCTGGCAGAGGGGCTGTATCTTCTGGGAAGGGCCACATCACCAAGAGTGTGGCAGTGCAACTCCAACCTGTGGGAAAGAGATGCCATAGTTTGATGCTTGTTGGGCTGAGTGTGGGCACCTTTTGTGCCCAGAGCCAGGAGCGCTGGCCCCAAATGGGCAAACTGAGCTGAAATTCAATAATTTGGACTCACCTTGATATTCTGCTGATGTTTTTAGTTCTCCTCACGCAATCGTAGTTCCAAATTGCTAAGGAAAAGTAACTGTGCTCACATCTTGCTCTGCAGAGAACTGTTTTCACCCAGCAGGTGTTTCTGTATACCAGCATGTAACTTCTGTCTGCAAATAAAAGAGAAAGTTGGCATTGCGTTTCATCTATTAAGTCATGTCTATTTGCATATACTTGTTGTAGAGCATGGAAAGGAGGGCAGAACAGTGCTAAGCCCAGTAAAATAATAAAATAAAACAGCATAGAGTGTGAATCGTGGTCTCAGTTACACAAAACACCACTGGGGTGATGGGAGCTCTTGTGAAAAGACAGAGCTTTGTGTCTGAAGACAGAGAGAGGCCCACAGCCCTTCTTGGCAGCAGTGTGGCTCTGTGCTGGGGGCAGCAGCTCTACATAGCCTGGGGTGCAGTGCTGCTGCTGAGAGCTGCTGGCTGGCAGATGTGGGAGGCAATGAGCTGTGCTGCTGCTGCTGTGGTCTCCCAGCAAACAGGCAACGGAGAAGATTTCTTTGGGATAGAGGGAAAGCATGAAACTTTTCCCTAATAGGTGTGAGGGGGTTTTCCATAGGTTCTCTCTTATATGCAAAAAGTGAAAAAAGCTCATATTCAAGGCAAACCATCTGGAAGTCCACTCCTGTGAGAATGCAAGAGATGTTCAATGCACATTAACTGTAAATGAGAGCTGAAAGATCTCCTCTGTTCCTGACGGGCTCCGTGCTGGGCAGCTCTCTGAGGTGGGTAGGTCTACCCTGTGCAGCAAGGCACCCCAAAAGCTCCAAGCCAGCCCTGCAACACAGAGGCACTGCTCTGATGTGGAGGCTCTTTCAGCTCGGCACAACTTTAGCCCAGAACCGTGGAGTGTTTCTTTCTTACAGAGCATGCATTCAGAACAAAGCGATGCTGTGTCGATGGTGGGGAGGACAGGGCTGCACCTTGCAGCACATCGTTGTGCTACCTGCACCACAGCCATGCAATCAGCCCCCCACCACGGGGAAAGTGTTCCATCTCTTTACTTAGGCTGTGTGTAGTCGCTGTCTGATAATATGACCATTTTGCCATCCCTCTGCAAATAAGGCTGAGGCTGCTGCCTGATTGGTATATCATCTCACTTTCTCTCAGCATTGATTTTCTTGCTCTCCTTATTTGCTTCATAAAAAGAGAGACGAGGAGCTGGTGCTTGTTCCCTCCCTCCCTCCCTCTCTCTCTCCCTCTCCACTGCGAGAAGCTTTTGGGAGCCTTTATTTTTAGTATGAGACAAACCTTGCTTTATTTCAGGAGACTCAAGTTGGATTATAAACCCTTTTGTAAATGTGTATGGTGATATTTGCTCCGGTAAGTTCTTCTATGATTATCTATTTATTTGTGTAGCCGTGCTGTTCTGGGGGAGAAGTGAGGTTTTAAAGGAATGGCAAAGCCCACCAAATTGTTTTACAGGTTGGGTTTCTTTGTGCTCCCATGCTGAGCCCAACTGTTCTGTGGTTTGTAGATACATGGAAAATATTTTTGGTCTGTTTTGCATTGCAGAGGGGGGGTGCCTGCTTTGAAAACTTGTTTTGCGCTTCATTTTACGGCAGAAATGTGGAAAGTGGGGATTAAAGGGAAAAGGGATTCCAATTTGTCGTGTTTCTCCCAGCATTTTTTTTAATCAAAGGCTCCTCAAAAATAACACAGAAACGTTTGCTACTACACAAAACCAGTGAGAGCTATTTAATATTGATCATCCTGAAGTACGAACATCAGACTATTTCCTTAGGAAGATTAAAGTACGGCAGGTGGTTAGCAACATGCTCCTCATCAAAATGCATTGCTGAAAGAAAGAAAATCTTTGAAGTAATTAAGGACGTGGAGTTCTTTTTGGAGTGTTACACCATTAATACAGGTCAATGTACTGTTGCTCTGACTCTGCTGTGCACGGCTCTGCAGCCTCGTTCCTCCGCGCTCTCAGCTAACTTGGAGACCTCTTTGTTACCTGTAAATAGCAGCAAGGTGCAGTGATTTCTCTCCCCCCATCGCAGCTCCTGGTGTGCTTCCCAGGCAGCGCGAGGCAGCGCTTGGAACAATGTGGCTGAGGAAAGCAAGATTGTGTATCTGCAGCATGTCCAGGCTGCCTGATAAATATTTGAATTTGATGCATTATATTCATTAATTTATTGGCATTTTGATTCTCTTGTGGTTGAGTCTGATCCATGGGAGTCAATCACGTTGGTGCTTCAGAAGTCTTTCAGAACTCCAGCTGTAGCTGCTTTGAGAACATGAAAATTCACGTATCAAACCCAGAATAATCCACCTACTCTCATGATGCCGGGCCATGCTAGTAGATGTATGAGACATGTTCCAGTAGGGCTGCAACTGGCTTTATTAAACCCATCAGAGACGGTGAGGATGTTGTGCTGGCAGAGCAGGCTGAACTCATCCAGAGAGAAATTTCAGATTGGCAATAACTGCTTAGTCATTTTAAGCTGCTTTTGGACCAGCTTAATTGTTCCAGTGTTGTTTCAGTGTGGAGGAGCTGAACTTGGCTTCCCAGCTGTGTGCGGAGCAGCTCAGGACCGTGCTGGGCTCCTGAGGACTGCATGGTGGTTGGGTGCGGCTGTGCTGAGCGTTGCATGGGAAGCCCACACCTCAGGTTCTGCTGCCTGAAACTGGATTCATACATGCCCAGTTCTGCGGCTTTTCAATTTTCACATCGTTGCTATCTCATAAGCACCATGTATATTTATGCCATTTATAGGCATTCCTGTGAATGTATGTGTCCAACAGTGATTGCCTTTTCCCAATCGTTTGATTTCTCAGGTGTGGAGGGCGTGAGTGTCTGAGCAGCACGCTTTCTAAGCATAATCCTGCTTGCCTGAGGATTGCTTTAAACATTTCCAGCTTTGCTGAGCCTTGGTGCACGGCTCAGTGTAGTAACCTTCAGGTGAGCAGGGTGATGGGTAAGGAGCACATTTGGTGACCCTGAAGGGGCAGCAGTTGGCTGGAATGAAGTGAGGACGTAGCTTCTGCTTCCAGCCCTGCAAAACGAAGGTGCTGGGGTTTCTGTACCGTGTAATTTCTCACAGCAGAGGTGCCAGACTTCCCTGAAAGCTGGGTGTGCTGTGGTTTATTAAGGAGACAATTCAGCTCGTCTATATAGATTGGAAGCAGGAAAAGTGTCCAAGCTGGTGGGACTCCTGGTGTCATCCTGCTCCTGGTAGGCAGCTCACTGGAAGCCAAGGGACTGTAAGGCACTGTATGAGCCATGTGGCTGAATCCATCCTTTCATTGGCAGAGGAGCTTGTGGTGAAGCAGAAATGATCCCTTTGGCTCCAAATGCAGTCCCTACAGTATAAGGCCAAGACAAACTTGGGGGAAGCAGGAAAGCTTGCCTCACTCCCTATGTTGTGCATGCAAAAGTCTTCCATGCTCGTGGCTTTTCACCAGTCACCTTCTGCCCATGCCAGTGCTGCAGTGATATCTCTTTCTAGCAGGTGCATTAGGATCTGGAAGATGTTGGAAATGTTATTTTAGGGCTGTGTGAATCCTGGGCAGCTGCTTCTCTGCCTCATTGGCTGTGGCATCTAGCAGCTCCAGCAGTTCCTAGAGAAATTCCTCAAGCTCTTAGAAGATTGACTTCTTAAATGCTTCCTTCTGAATGCCAGATACGTTTTTTTAGCCAAGTCCTTGGAAGACTTAATGAATGCTTTCCTCACCTCTGTTAATCCTGTTCAGACCAATAGGTGCCCCATGGCGAGAAAGGTATTTGTGCTGGTATTGGATAGCAGCTGCCTGTCACTGCCGGTGGTGGCAGGTGGTGTTTTATTCTTTGTGTCATTCTTGATTAGGAGTTCCTGTACAACTATATGGCCATTTTTTTTTCAGGGAATGTTTCCCTGTATGGAGGGTGGCAGATGGCAACTTGACCCAGACGCTGGTCTTTCTTGGTTTTGCTGTTGGGCTCCCTATCCTTCAGCAAGCTGAGCACAAATCCTTCCTAACAGCAGTGTGGGCTGTGAGCTCGGAGCCTGCTCCTTGACATGGGCTGTGACAACAAGTGCCACTTGCCTGTGCCCATGTGGGCAACTATGGGCACTGGGCACTGTCCTGGGGCCAGTCCAGGGAAGTGGAAGGGAGAAGCAGTGCTGGGCTGCACAGTAGGCTGGGCGTTGAAAGCAGAACAGTGCAGCACTTGCTCAGTTGGTGTTCAATTAAGTGTCCAGTACAGGCGGGGGTCTGGCTCTGCTTGTCTGTGGTTTGCAAAGGTAATTATGACCCTGGGCCCAAGGGATGCTCAGAGTCCTTGAACTTGTGATGAAACTCTTTGTTTTGTATTTGGGGCCAGAATACTGAATACCATCAAAGTCTTCAGCCTTCCTCTCCTGTCGTGTCCAACCTATTATTTTTTAAGGGGAAAAAAAAAAAGGTAAGGATAGAAAGGAAACAAGACGTGCTGAGCCCTTCTATGCAGACAAGGGAGGAGACAGGTGGTCAGCATGCGGTGTGGGATCTGCTGTGCTGCTCCTGTCCTTTCCCAGGCACGGTGCTGGAGCTGTCTGTCTGTCTGTGCCACACACAGGCTGTCTGTCTAGGTGGAAGGGGTCCTGCCACCTGGATGGCTGTGCAGCACTCATCTGTCACCAAACTTCCATGGCACCCTGGCAAAGCAAATATGCTGCAGCAGGCTTGAAAGCTGTAAGCATATGGGCACTAACAACAGATTAACTGAGTGATTTAGTCTAAGGGGCTTGGTAGATTACCATAAAATGTATCTTAATTAGAAAAGCAATCAAACTTGCACAGAGTCAATGAGGACAAAACGTCCGTGTTGGCAACAGCACTACATCCTCCAGCCCAAGGGATGGAGGTGTCAATGGATGAGACTCGTGCCCACAGTGGGACTTTTGGGGGTTTTGCTGCTGTTTGCCCACTCTGCCTATAGGTGTAGGATGCCTTCATGCTGAATTATTTGTTCTTGGACCACGGGGTCATCCAGCAAACTGCTCAAAATGAGGCTGATGGTGAACTTGGATGCCTTCAGCAGCATCAACAAACCAGACACTGCTGAAGGTGAAAGAGTAGAGCATTTGCACATTTTCCTTGAAAATGTGTGCAATTACCTAAAGACATATTTGAGTGTTTGCCATGTATAGCACAGCTGGTCCCAGATAAAGGACTGGGGCTTCTAAGTGCTACCATAACACAAATAATTAATAAGTCTATTTCCCTCACTGTGTTCTCTTGTTTTTAGCGAACATGACCATAATTAGCTTTTACCTGATTCTGAATTTATGGCATGTTCTTTTCATTCTGCATGTGTTTTCCTTGCTTCTTTATTTTATTGGCCACAGTTTTACTCCACAGGCCTGAATCTGCAGATGTAAAAGCTGGGTAATCATCTCCAGCAGTACAGATATAAAGACTGCAAAAGTCTAAAACATATTGATGCGTTATTGGTTTGGAACAAGTTCTCCTGGCTCTGGAAGGATGTGAAGTCCTCTGGGAAGTGGCACCGAAGATGCACAGCAGCTGGCAGTTGACAGAAAGGAAAGGATGCCTGATTATTTTAGAATTGGCAGTATTTTAAAACATGGGGGAAGTGGGAAACATTCAGGCCAGGGGTTGCCAAGTTTCTTTTGTTACCTCTTTTTGTGCTTAGAAACAGATTTCAGAGAACATCAGTGAAAAGGCATGAGAAGAAAAAGGGAGAAAGTGTGGAGGAACATGGGATGGGGGAGGATGGAGAGGAAACTGGAATAACTTAAACCAAGTAGATGGAGTGTATCAAGAGCCAGTGAGATAAGGAAGCATTGTTGTTGGTTTTTGGCTTTTCAGTTTAAGGATACTTTTATTACTGTTTCCTAAAGATGTTCATGTTAAGGTGTTACTCTTTATGATTTAGCCTTAGGAAGGAGAGCAGTGCCACCTCTCAGGACAGAGTAAGAGAAGCAAAGGAAAAGAAGAGGAAAGGGAGGTTTTAATTTTGAAAACGTTTCTTGCTCAAAATGTTCCCCATGAATTCCCAGAGCTCAACAAGGCAAGCATTCATTTGTAGCCCCATCATTTTAATTATTAGAAAAGAAATTATTTTCACCACGTGTGCTGCTAGCTAGCCAGGAGCAAATTCTTCTTTCAGCCCTTTGCACAGAGCTGGGTGCTGAGGTCAGAGCCAGCACCAATGGAATTTTCCATCCAAAACTGCTTTGAGAGAAAAGGATGGGTCCTGTGTGGAATGCTGGGTGCAGCCCCACTCCTGTGATGAAGGAGGGCCATGGGAAAGTGGGGTCTGCAGCAAGAGGGACACATCTGCCATGGTCAGGACAACCACCATGGGTCTTGGTGGCCAGGACTGGCTGTGCGTATGCTTTCTGGAAAAGCAGCCATGCTCTCCAAAAGCAGAGCCTGGGTACCCAGCATTGCTGCTCGTAAAGATGTTGAGATACTGGAAAATGGGAAAGCACAGCCAGCCATCCTATCAAAGAGCACTGCTGGGGGTGTGGGAAGGAAGCGAGGCCTCATTGCTTAGCAATTTGAAAGCACTCTCAAATCCTCCCGGGACAAAGCTGTTGCACTGGTTTATTCATCCCAAGGGCTCTCTGGATGCCTTCCCAACCTAAATAATTTTCACCCATTTCCTTAATTCAGCTTGAGAAATGAGAACTGAGTGCCAGCATGCTTGCTCGGGGAGCAGATGACACTGGGTAGTGGCACAGCAGCATGGGGCTGAGAGGAAGCTGCTAATGGCCTCTGATGAGCACCAACGTGATAATAATGAGGTTGGTGCCCTTTCACTCACCCAGAGAATCTTAGCAAAAGTATAATCCCCGCTAGTCAATGGGCAATCATTGGGTCATAAATAATAGAGTGTGATTGAAGGACTGCACCTTTCCTGTAATAAATCACGCAGAGATGCTCCTGACCTGGGGGGGGGGGAGTGGAGGGGGGTTTCACTGCAGCCCCATGCTGAGCTGTGCTGCATCTCCCAGCTGTTAGTGTGGTCTGTGATTTACTGTACTCCCAAATCTCATTGCTGCATTTGGTTGCACTCACAGCAGGAGGATGCTCCACCACCACAGAGGTCTGCCAGCACTGAGGAAGATGGAAGGAATGATGATGCACGTTGGATAACATTTTTGTGGGCATGTTGGGGACGGGTTAACGATTGGACTAGATGATCTTGGTGGTCTCATCCAACCTTAATGATTCTATGATTCTAAGACAGAGGGAGATGCTGGTCCCAGCACCAGTCTAGTGCAAGGCGGGCAGTGTGTGTACCATGTACAACATGTTGTAGTTTTTTTTACAAGCTGCATTTGTATTCTGCTGGCCTCCATTGCTGTCAGACATATGGGACAGTTGTGGTTCTTACTGAGGCCCTAGGACTGCAGCAGCCATCGTGGGGTTTATTGACATTAAGTTCTGGGGCACTTTCCTTTTTCAGAGTGTTTCACATATGGATGCTGCTCAGCCTTAAGGTAAATCCCTGTGTTTATTGGAGGGAGTAAATCCTACTTAGCACTGGTTTGGATCACACTCTGTACACAGTTGTGCTACATGGTCGGGCCATTTTTAACTCACCCAGCAAGTAAGGAAACAAGCAACTACCCAAATGTTTTAATTTTATAATTAAATGTGTGTAAATCAGTAAATCTGATACGATCAGTCTCTCAAGCCTGCACAAAACCTGTATTTTCATCAGGGAGCAGGAGCAGAACAGGATTTGCACGTGAACCTGCTCAGCGCAGGGCTGGGTGAGCATCCCCACCAAGGGCATGGCAGCTGCCTCTGTGTGCCAGCAGGCTGGAAAAGTCTTCAAGCCCAAAAAGGAATTCATCTCTCTGCTAAAGTGGCATGTGTCACAACATGAGTTATTCAGGGATCGTATGCAGAAATGAAACAAATCTGTGTCACTTGCACTCTCATCTCCTTAAAGAAGAGGGTACGAATGTGGAGATACGAAGGCTGCAGGTCCTTGTAAATGTCTTCGATTATCTCAGATCTTTGGCCAGTGGTTGGAGGGGCTGAAGCAGCTTAACATCTCTCCTCACTTGTGTGAGTGGCTTTGTTCACTGACGACTTTTCGTTTCACTGAATCCAAGAGATGTTGACATACATCTTTATTTTCTGCCTGTTAACTCTTCCATGCAAGCTGCCAACCTTAGCATTAGCTTTCAACTTTATGGCTGACCCATTAAACATTGGATGAAACATCTCATCAGCTTGCATTACATTTTGAACTTAATAAATAGAAAAGGCATTACACAGATTCTGTCTGGCCATCTGGAGGAACAATGTTCCTTAGCTCAACGAATGGCTCTCTAATCCTCTCATATATAGTTTGGTTTTATTTCATTAAAATATAATGAGAAAAGACTACCATACCATTATGTGGTGGGACTAAATGGGATTTTTAGAGTAATCAATGAAAATGAGTAAAAAAGATAAAGATTTTCTTCAAAGAAAAATAGCAAAAATTGTCTCCTTGGGATTAAAGTATTGTAGAACCAAATTATTATAGCACAATCTTTACTCACTAAAAATACCCCAGTTTCATTTCCATAAATCTTTCCATTAAGAATCAAATGAAGTATTTTTTTTGTTTTAAAAATGCAAAGTATTAAATGAAATGCTCTGCTTTAAGCTGAGGATGCCACAAGGCTGCTCCCTGATGGTCTGGAGGATTTTCTCTCCCACCTCCAATAGTGACCCCAGAAACTCTCCTGGAAGACATAGGACAGCCACTTGAATGGCCTCAGGGCTGTCCAGCCTGCCCTTGGATGTCTCCAAGGACAGGGAATCCACCAGTTCTCTGGGCAAGCTGTGCCACTGTTTCACTGCCTTTATTGTAGAAAAGCTTCTTCTTTATATCCAGTCTAAATCTCCCCTCTTAGTCTGGAACCATTTCCCCTTGTCCTATCACAGACCCTGCTACAGACTCTGTTCTCCTTTTTCCTACAGTCCCCCTTTAGAAGGTTTGCTTCTTGCAATGCTGATGTTTGTTTCTAAGGAGGCACACTAAATCCTGGCAATTAGTGGACAATTGCTCTAGGCTTTCTTTTTCAGCAGAAGGAGAATATATTTCAGCTTGCTCCCTGGACAGTTGTTGGAGGAAAATGAGTCCTGCTAGTCATCGCCTCCCCCCAGCACTGCTGCCCACCCAATTCATCAACCAGTCAAGCTGATATAATTAGGAATCCCAAAGTCAATAATCTGATAATCTCCAGTGAACAAGGCTTGTATGTAGGAGAAGTGATTCCAGGAAGTCTGCAGCTCAGATCCTCAGAGGACAGATGCCAGATTTTAAAAAGGAAACAGGCAGAAAGCCGGAGGGGAGAGCGCTCCCTACTTTTCACTGGTGACATATTTTGGGCTATTGGCTCTACACTAAATGTTTTCCCGTAGAGTCATTTAGTGCCTTTGAATCTTCTCTTTACAGCCTTAATAATGACGTTTGGCTGCTGGTTGCATTCCATAAATAAATGATTGGAGTGCTGCAAGGCTGTGCAGGGGACGATGCTGGCTGCAGGGCAGGGGATGCTTCTCACATGCAACCCTGGCTTTAGTGAACAAGGAGGAGGTGTAAAGCCAGGCTGTGTTTGGCACATGCTTTGCAGCCACTTTGTGATGGAGATCCAGAGAAGGAGAAGACTTATATCCAAAAGCCATGCCAGGAAGCTTTGTCTTTGTGAAACACTTTCAATGTGTAAAGTGACTAATGGAAGAGTAGGCGTCTAAGTATTGCAACCTTGCTTTTCCAAGGCATCAGATGTTCCCTTTGGCTTTTCATTGCTAAGGCAGGACTGGGCCTAGGATCTCTCCTGGAAGGTGTCCTGGGAAAAGCAAGTGGCTTATGTAAAAGTTTCATCAATTTTAAGTGACAGTGTTATCTTGCTAACATGATGTTTTAACTGCAGTGCTTCTATGTAAGCCTTTTAGCTCGCCGTGTCAGGAGCCATTCTGCATTCCTCTGGCTCTCATGGCCAACCTGTTGCTCGGCAGGCATTGAGGGGACTGCTCTGAAGGCCAAGCATGGAGAAATGGTAGGAATTTGTCCCATTTGTCACTCCTGTGGCAGGAGGAGTAATGTATGGGGCTGCTGCTGCCCGCCTGGGGCACAGGTGGAACGTGGTTTCCTTGGGGACCCTTGTGCCCCTAACCCAGGGTGCAGAAGGGACCAGCACTGGGCTGAAATGATGTTTACTATTGCACGGTGCCATAATAAATATAATTTCTATTGGTTAAGCTAGGTTATAAGACTTACCTGTCTTCCTTACAAAAATATACTGGTTTGGTGGTGGTGTTGATAGTTGGACTTTATGATCTTGGAGGTCTTTTCCAACCTTAACGATTCTGTGATTCCATGTTACAGTGGCACAGGATAAGGCTGCACAGTCGTAGAGAGAATATCACCATGATAAAGTAGGGGAAGTGGTGTTCATCAGCATACACAAAGGAACCACCATCTTCAGAGACATGCTGCCTTGTTGGAGAAAGTCTTATGGCAGGTGGGGAGCATACATAGGAGCAATGTGATGCCCCAAGGGCACCGTGCTGCTCCTGGCTGCTCCTCAGAGAACTGCCTTCATATGTAAGCGTTGACCATATGCTGAGATAGATCTGGTATAAAGGGGAAAAGCCATAGACATGCAGGGTGCAGATGGGATGAGCGCTGAGTGTGGATTTATAGGCAAAGAGTAACTAGGAACATAGGGAAATGCTTTCCCTTTCTCCATAAACTTTTCAATTTCAGAGAGACGAGATTCAATAAAATTATCTTGCAGATGGAAGTTTTATTGAATCTGGCCCATAAAGCTCCCATTATGGGGTTTACAACTGCCATTTACACAAATCCTGCTACAATAAAATACAATGGTGTTTACAGCATTCCTGCAACTGCCACAGAATTACAGCACGCACAAAACCCACCCAGTAAATCTTGGCTTAATTCACTGACAACAGAAAGCAGCAAAACTTGGGAGGAAAAAAAAGAAAAAAAGAAAAATGCAGAGCTGGGAAAGAGAAGGTTGTTTGGGTGAGAGGAGTTATGCTGCTTGGCCAAAATTCCCCGGAGAAAGGATTCATGGTCCTTGCCCTGCAAGGCACGGTGTAAAGGTGCTTCCAAGCAGTGTGGTGCAGTGCCCAGCTGCAGGGACCAGTGATGTGATTGCAGCCAGAGCAGGGAGCCAGGCTGTGGCTGGGTTGGCTATAAAAGCCTCCAGCTGGCTCCTTGCTGCTTTCCCACCTGTTGCCTGGGTGCCTGCAGTGTGCTGAGCAAGGATAGAAAGTGGTGGGCAGCCCTGGTGGGATGTGGCTGGAAAGGGAGTAGGCTGAGGTTTGCTGGGTATGGAAGCATCTGGAAAGCCTCTGGCTGAGAGCTGAGTTTGGGGCTCAAGGTGGGTAAAGTTGGATCTGAGGCTGCAGCTTGAGATGCTCTCAGCCTTTCTGACAAGGAGCAGCCTGAGCTGAATTTTTGGGGTTGGCTCCTTGGCCCTTGTGTCATAGGCTTATGTTAATTCCCAACCATTTGTTATTTGCATGAATTGTGTGTCCTTCCCCTCCTTGTCCCTGTTGTGAGAGCTGCAGTTGGCAGGTGATGCTCTTCATTTATGGCAGGTTTATCTCACGCTGCAGCCCTGCACTCCCCCCTTTATTTTTTGCAAGCCATTAATCTTTGTGGCTCCCAACACATCTGCATTTGCAACTCCATTAATTAGGCCAGAATGCAGGTCAGCCCTAATCTCTCTGGCGCTCCTTAATATATTGTTTTCTGACATTGCTTCACAAATTAAGCTGAGATGATTAATAGTGATTTTCAGTGCTGTTGCACATGTAAAGGCAGAACAACTTCGAGGAAACGTCTCATTTAGGATTAAGGAGTGCTGTTCAAGTTCATTATGAGCATTTATTTCAAATTAACCAACAAGCCAATTCATGGGAAAGTTCAGCTTTCTTTTTTTTTTTTTTGTCAGAGCCCAGTATAAAGAATTGAGTCAGTGACTGTTTCTATCAACTTGCCTCATTGTTAGGCTCCTAAATCCCTTTGCAAATCTGCCCGTAAGCGATGTGTGATGGGCAAGAGGTGAGCCCAGGTTAGCAGCACTTTTCAAATGGAGCCTCATGCAGCAGGGATGGATCTACTTACTTTTTTTTGTTTGGTATTTCCACGTTGTCTTTAGAGAATCATGCAGTCCCTTATTTTGCCATTACATTTGCTTGCTGTATGATTTTTCCAGTGTCCAAATATAATTTTTTTCTCTTCTAGATGCACGCGGCCTGTTTTCTTTGGGTTCTTGGCCTTTAGTTTATTCAGTTGTGATTTGGGTTGTGAGTTTACTTGTCACTTCCCATATCTGCCTCACTTCAGATCTGAGCTGCTGAAGTGAGTGGAGTGACTTTACACCTATTGTGCTGTAATAGGGACAACATCGAGCCTGGTCTTTCATTTAGATTACAACTGCATCAGTAAGGCTCTCCCCACTTTTGCTCCTGTTCTTCCAACAAAGGCAAAGTCAATGAAGTTCCCTGTGTTTGAACACCTGACATAAATACAAATGCTGATGTCTGTGGCCCTCCCCATCCCCCTAACCCACTTCTCCTGGAATGTGGAGGTGTGATATGGGTTTGCACCAGAAAGAACCTAACTTTTTCTTCCTATCCAGTTTGCTTAAGCTTATCCTGTATCTTATTTTATCTTTTTTTCCTGTTTTGCAAAGTGTTGGTTAATTGCCCCACTGTATCCATCTTGGGTTATGGTATAAATTTAGGATAAATAATGGAAAAAATGATCTTTTTTCTCCCCAGATCTTATATAAAATGGAAAAAAAGGTGGTGTGATGCTGTGTTTCGTCATGTGATGGGATGATAGCTGCATGGACTACCTTGGTCTACTATTGCTACCCTTATCTGCTCCTTATAAATATTTCTGCCAGTGTTTTATTTGTGCAAAGACTGGCTCATTACGCTCAGTCAATATTCATCCTTCCCTTCCAACCCGAGCTTGCCCATCAGTTGGGTGATTTAAATAGCTGCCTGCGCTGTGAATCCCAAGTGGGCTTTGAGGCACAGGGGGGAGGGCTGAAATGCTTGACACAGACGAATGGTGATGGTTCTGCCTATGTGAAGCAACACGGCTTCAAATCTTCTGGTTCCCTGTATTGACATTTGGGAAGGGTGCAGGAGTAATGTATGGCGATGCTTTGAGTGCTTGGAATGATGGATAACCTGACCCGAGGGGACTGGTGCTGCTGTGCTGCTATTGCACAGCTCTGCTGGTGGGGTGGGTGCTGAAACGAAATAAAATTAAAATGTTGTTTGTTTTTGACAGCTTTTTGCAATCTTTGCATTTGCAACATGCGGTGGGTACTCTGGAGGACTGCGCCTCAGTGTGGACTGTGCAAACAAGTCAGAGAGTGACCTCAACATTGACATAGCCTTTGCCTACCCGTTCAGGTAATGCATTTTGGTTCATGGTGATTGGTTTGCAGAGAGGCAGGTGCACGGGGTCTGGTGGAAAACCCCCACTGAAAATGGTTTTCCAGTCACCTGGAACGGCTTCTGATGAAGCAGCAGCTCCTGGGGTTCCTGAATTCTGCTCACAACACGGCTTGGACTCTGGAAGGGAAGGAGGAATAGATTTGGCTGGATATGATGTGGATGGGACTTTGGGAACCATGGGGAAACTGGAGCTCAGCACAGAGCAGCTGTGGGCATGCCGAGCCCCACAAGGGCCAGGACAGCTCAGGGAGCCACACTGGCCCTAGGAGAAAAGGGGATAAAGGAGCCATTAACTGCGGAGTAGCCATTAATTAAGCTGGAAATAAGGGAGAAGTTAATGGCAGTTCTGAAATTTCTTTGAAAATTGTACTGATTGCCTGCCTGCGTCTCTCAGTACATGAATTGTTTAAGTGCTGGACCACTGGTGAATTAGGAGAGCCACAGTGAAGTTAAAAATACACATTAAATGCTCCTGCAATGTAAGATCCTGCTTCAGAAGAACACCCACAGTCTTCTGTTTTTAAAGATGCCAGGTCAACTCTAGAAACCTTTCACTTCTGAATAAATGATATCTTTAAGGAATGAAGACGATTAAGGAAAGAATACATAATCCAGTCTCAGGCCCTGTATACTATGACTGAAATTATTTTGCTTCCTGGGGAAATCGTGTGATGTTTTGCTTATGATTGCTATGCACAGACCAGATATAATAGCATCTATTACTTCAACTTGTTCTAAAATGAAGCATTTTCCAAACAGTGGAAACTAAATTTGATTCCTTGAACTATCGTTGTCACTTGACACGCATTTATTACTCCAGAAATCCCATTTCCTGCTATTACAAATGTTTATGTTTTTGTCTTGTCTGTTTTTCTTTCATTTCTGCTTAGTATGCATGAGATGGATCCTGCAAATTGAGTTACATGAATTTGTAATGCGATTCACTTCCAAATAGGTCATTTCTCCAGCATTCATTATAGAATACACCCTACAGTAAAGTGGTTTTAATTTTCATGATTATTAAGTAGCACTTTATGTGAAAAGTTAATAAAACTGAGAACAATAGTCAGCAAGTATTTCTTAACGTTGTATCAGGCACGTTGACCATTGTTCGTAGAGGGAGGAGACCAGATCTGCAATTTCCTAGTCTTGCTTATTAAAAAACTAGAAGCATTGCTGAGTAATTGCAGCACGTGCTGCAAACCTGAGGGTATTTGCAGAAGGGATCCAGCTGGGATTGCAGCTGTAGGTGGCCCTTGAACTGCTGGTATGGTTCAGCTGTGGCTGGTGTGGTCTGAGCAGGAATGTCAAACGCACTCAAGACCACAATGTCTGTGCTACCTAACAAGTATGGAAGCGCTCTCCAAATCTCTCCCAGGAGGCAGGAGTCCTGTTCATCCTAATGATCAGCAGCTCCTCTCTTCCCAGCTGAAACAGATTTTTAATCTTTTAGTGAAAATGCTTTTCATGGAATTCTGAAGCAAGCAAGGATCATAGGCACATAGAATGGCTTAGCTTGGAGGGGACCCTAAATATCATGTAGTTCTGACCCCTTCCTGTGGGTTGGTTGCCACTCATCTGATCAGGCTGCCCAGAACCCCATTCAACCTGGTCTTGTGCACCCCAAAAGATGGGGCAATGATGGTGGTGTGTGGCATGTACAGTTGGATGGATATACCTGCAATTTGTGAGTGAGAAGGAAGATACTTTCGTGATTTCTTCATGAATTTGATCTTTCTACTCTTTTCCAATGCTCCTTTCACTGATTGAAGAGGGGATGCTCTGAACGCAGTGTTAGGAAAGGCAGTGTCTCTTGTCAGAGTAGTTGATGCCCTTGGCAAAAAGCAGACAGGCTTTAGGCTCAGCCTCCCCCATCAGGACTGTGATCCT